GGAGATTTATTGTTTTCTTTCTTGCTTTGTTTGTGTAAAAAGTACCCGGGCATATTCTTTGTCCCTTGAGAGGGTGAATCCACCTAATTGAACTTCCACCTATAACGCTTGTCTGCTGTTAAATAAGCTGTTACCGCGCACAAATAAATCCTCCATCTACATTCATAGAAGAGCACCCATGTTACCTCGTTTGATGAAGTCTTCCGTAATAACCAACCAGATAGCTGACACGGGGCTTTGTTCAGTTGCACTGTAACATGCCCCCCTCCCCCCATATATATATTTATGTATATATATTTCACTGCCTCTTGTTCAAAATATGCCTGTCAAAAATGTGAATATGAACGGACGTTGCTATTAGCGACCATTGTCCACTGTCGGACATATCTGGGGGTCTTTGTCATCTGTTTGGTCCCCGAGAGCTTCTGTCACACGGAGGGGCCGATCGCCGCCCCCCCCCCTCCCCTAACTGCGGCAGCTCCTTGGGAAAATGTTGATGTGTAAATGCTGCCTAAGGAGCTGTTTTACTGGTCATGAAACATTTAAAAATTTAAACATTTTGAAATTTTATTTTGAAGCAAAATTGGTTTTTTTTGTGTCTTTCTTCTGTTGCTTAATGTTAAACCTTGTCCTCTCCCCGGATGTGAGAACACGATTTGAACTGATCGACCATGTGGTCTCCGGCGTTATCACTGACTTGAGGTCCGCCACTGCAGGAGGCCCCGACCTTCTCGACCATGTGGTCAACTAACAGTCTACTCCGGCCTGTAGGAGGGATCCCCTTTTATTGCTGCATATATTACTTCATATTTTAATGGTTTTCATCCACAATGAGTTGTAATCTTTCTAGAAGAAAAAAATGGTATTTATTTTCCAGCATCACTAAAGCAGACAAAGAAACTTTAATATTCAACTTGTAAATCAACTCTCTGCTTCGTGTGTCTCGTACAATGAACATATCCGCTCAATAAGGTGACGTTTTAATTGCCGAATGCTTATTTAGAAATGCTACAGATCTGCTAACAGATGCTGATAACAGTTTGATAGAATCCCATTTCAGGTTCATTTCATTTTAATTTCAGAGATGTGTGCAATCAGGAAACACGGAGGACAGCAAGCCAAACTGACACATTCCGTGTTTTTACTGATCTGAAAGAGAAACACGGCAACGAACAACGTCTACTTTGTCATTGTTGTTCACGTTTAGTCGAGTTTACACGTTTGTGGCTCGTTTGCCTTCATTTCGTTGGGCAATATTGACATTTGTGGTTTGACGGACGCGTTTCCGGCACAGCGGACTCTGCACCAGAATGGGGGTGTTCACTAACAGCAAGGAGGGGGGGGGGGAACTTCCTTAAAGTGCGTATTCTTTATTTTCACCCCCCTCCCGTGTACGTAAGACGGCGTAAATAGTTTGTATTGATATCCGCGCACAGCCGCTCGGTTTTCTGGGTGTTCCTCCGCGTCGCGTCACCGGCTCCCCCCGCTTTGTGCTCCTCGATGGTTCCGCCCGAACGTCCAGCTGATCGCTTCGAGTGCCGTTCAATTATTCCGGTTTAAACTGAGCCGTTTTGTTTCACTTAACGGATGGTTTTCTTCTGGCCGAAAGGGGCCGAGTTCGCACCTTTTCCACACCGACGCGTGGACTATAAACGGGGCAAGAGGAACATTCTACGTTTTTTTTGTTCAACTCTAGCGTCGGATCGTTTTTCTTTTCTCTTCTTTTGAGCGACCAGGCCGCGGACTCATCCCCGGCCTCGAGTTTCCATACCGCCCCCCACCCCCCCTTCCCTCCCCGTCTCTATCTCTCCCTCGTTGGAAGTCATGGGGGACACCAGCGAACGAAGCAAACTACCTCCCCGGTGTACGTGTGGATTCTGGGGGTAAGAGAGCAGCTGGACGTGAACCGCGTTGAGCCCCGATGTTCGTTCAATCCGGAGTGAACGTGCCCAGCGGGTTGAACCGGTCCAAACCCATTGTTGTTGTTCCGTTGAGCAGGCCGGAGGGTGGGGGGTTGGGAACTTGGCTAATAAATAAACCTCCCAGCTTTTAAAAAACTGGACTCGCATTTCCAGCAATTACCGGGTTTTGTAACGCCGCTTTGGACGTTACCCGAGCCGGGCCGGGCCGTTTTAAACCGCGCTACATCGGGTGTTGAAGGCGGTTCGTGACGGAACCGACACACACATGATTTATTGCCAGCAGGTTCCCTCATTTCTTCTGGTTTTTTTTTTTAAACCCCGTTTTCTTGAGTCGCCTCGAATAAAGATCCACATTGAAACGAGCACCACGTGACCCGCGCGGAGTGCGAGGCGGGCGGTGCTTATGAAGCCGCTTTTATCGGAGTTATGTCTCTCACAGTCGGTGGATGTGCGCTGCGTACCGGATGTGATTCACCGATGTGACCACGCACACCTTTTTATTTAACAGCTGTTTCTCCCCAGTGGGCTGTGAGTGCGTGTTTAAAGTAGCTGAAACATTTAAAAATACCTTTTTAAGAATCCTGTTATTTCATTACTAACCTCCCTGGGGGGGTCAACCCACTACCAATATATCACACACTCACACACAACCAGGAAGACTCTGACATTGTCACATGACCTGTCATTTGGTACCCCCACCCCCCCACCTGTCATTGGCGGGTGACACAGGTGTGTGTGTGTGTGTGTGTGTGTGTGTGTGTGTTGGCTCGAGGCCTCTGGGCAGAGGACTCTGTTGAGCTGACATTTAGTATTTTTAAAGGATGGCTTATGAATATTCATGGTCACATCTCAGTGATGGTACTTCTCTTTAGTACTCACTCTTGTTGGGCAACAAAGTTTCCCTTTTATTATTGGTTTAAAAAGATACATTTATATTGATAAGATGCTCATAGTGCACGTGGGGTTCATTTCAGGGCTGACTCTTCATGGGGGGGTGATTGACACTTTAGATGAAGGCGTGTTCTTCACCTGTGTTTGCTCTCCTGGATTCACCTGTCAGTACGGACGCATCAGGCTCTTCCTAATGTGTGAAATAATACGACTTGCAGCCCTCCGTCTGACGCTCCTTCAGGGTTCAAGGTGGAAGGCCTGCTTCAGTGTTATCAGTGTTTGCCTCCACCCACCCTCCACCCGCCCCGCTATCTGATGACCAAGTTGTGTTCTCAGCACATCGTCATGTTTGACTTGGTTTCAGCACTAAGTAAAAAGTTAAACCGGCAGAGATATAAATAAATAATTTTTAAAAAACGTAGCTTGAGGAGAAAACCAGTACTGAACTTTTTTGTTGACATTTTGTTTATTGGAGATGTTTGCCATCTGGCATTTAGCTCCTTTTAGCTAGCTGCCCGTTGGCTCCTTTTAGCTAGCTGCCCGTTGGCTCCCTTTAGCTAGCTGCCCGTTGGCTCCCTTTAGCTAGCTGCCCGTTGGCTCCCTTTAGCTAGCTGCCCGTTGGCTCCCTTTAGCTAGCTGCCCGTTGGCTCCCTTTTAAGTAGCTGGCTGGGTTTTAGCTTCTTTAGCTAACTACAGGAGCTAAGCATCAGGCCTGATGCCACCTGCATGTGGGAAGTTCACAGGCATTTATTGGCATGAATAACCCTGATTAGGAAAGTAATAAAACTGCTTTATCAAACCATTAAACCTGCTCCTTCACGCAAACTACGCATACAAAGTAAACACCTTTTGCCTCTCGGACAGTACGCCAGGCCCCGCCCCCTCGGCGTGTCACATTTTTTGAGCCGGGCTGTATTAGCCGCCACTCCCGTTGGCCTTGAAGTTGAGGACGCGGCCTTCACTTTCTTGCGCTGGACGAGCAGCGGGGAAACTTGTCAGTCCCCCCTGGAAGAAATTAAATCAATAGCAGCGTCGTAAAATAATCACATCCATTACAACAACAACCGCGTGCTTCTCGTGTGAATGAATTGTTTACAGCCGGCCGCTTGCTTCCCCGTCCTCCCGACACGTCCTGTCACGGCGAATGGTCAAACCGAAGAGACGTTGGACGCTCATGTGTTGGGATGTCTGACGCTCAGCATCATGTGATGTGTAATGTTCATGTGAGGTGTGCAGCTCCATCTGTTCCTCCACCTGCTACCTTCCAAACAGCGCGGTGGGAGAACAAGTCTTCCTGCTTCTAGCAGATGATCAATCACCACGAACCATTTGTGTGTCACATGTGAGGAGGTCACTGACACCCCCCCCCTCTATCCCCCCCTCCCCCTCTTTCTCTCTCTCCAGGTCCAGCGAGACCATGAACCTCTGCTCCAAATGTTTTGCCGGTAAGTTTCCCCTCCTTGGCGGTGTTTCTGTGATCGACTGAGCGGTCCTCTGACCGAGGAGACGCCCTCGGGTGATTCATGGAGCACGTGATGTTGAAAAAGAGGCCGATGCTTCACCTGTTAGATGTAAAGGTCTTGCCGACCTGCGTTCACTCATTGAATGGACCTGATTCATGCCGACTTAAAGGGATCACAGTCATGAGTTTGCTTCTTCAAAATAAAAGCGCTTCCCTAATAAAATAACAGGTTGGCTTTTATTCTGAAGAATTTATAGCAAAATGTGTTTATCACAGAATTGGCACAGCAAAGTTTGAAAAAAGTCCTGTGAAGTTTTTTCATACTCGTCCCGGTCGGTGTTTTTTTGGGGTGGCGCTGCAGCTGTCGGTAGCCATGGCAACCAGCGAGCGAGGCAAGTCTAGCGCCGCTCAGAATAGACTCGATACTCGCGAGTCCCGGAGGCCGCGCAGAAGTGGGTTAGTCCACATGTGGAGGAGAAACCGTAATGTAGGCCGACCTGCTCCGGGGGGGGGGGGGGGGATAATATCCCTACGGATCAATACCGTACAAAACTATCATGTGAGAGAGGAGCCGCGGTGAAAAGGTGTTGTTTTTATGCTCTGGAGCACAAACAACCTTTTCAGGTGAATGTATGTTGTTCATGTAATGTTCAGCTTTTATTACATCAACCACATTTGACCGTAGACGTCCAGAAGAAGCAGCCGGGGGAGGACTGCACCCCCGAGCCCCTCCAGAGCGCCGGGAGCAGCCAGTCGCCGGTCTTCAGTAGCGACGCGAGCAGCAGCCAATCATCATCGTCGACGACGCCCCCCGGCCCCAAGCCGCCGCCCACCGAGGAGCCCTCGCCCACATGTCCCGGCACGAGGGAAGGTAAGCTACACCACATGGGAGTACTTGCATCAGTACCATGGATTGACAGCACATGGGAGTACTTTATGTATAAGTACCATGGATTCACAGTACATGGAGTATTTCCTTGGTGTGAAGAGGACCTTTCACGTCCCGTCTCCTGGTTTCCTCTCCAGGCACGTCGTCCACAGAAACAGCCCAAGGAACTCTCGGCACACCAACAAAACGTCCTCGAGAATCAGGTACAGCCGGCCCCCCCGCCCAGCAGCCGCACCAGCAGCTCTCTATGCCCCCTCCCGTCTTTCAAACCTCTGCGCCACGCCTTTCTCCTCTAGGGTCGGACTCGGACAGCGAGGAGACGCCGGAGAAGCGGCCGCGGCCCGACGGCAAGGAGGGGAGCGGCGAGGAGGCCCCCGTAACGCCCAAGCAGAAGAACCGCCGGCGCTGCTTCCGCTGCCAAACCAAACTGGAGCTGGTGCAGCAGGAACTGGGCTCCTGCCGCTGTGGTGAGTAAACCGGCCCCGTCGCCGCGGGCAACGCCACCTGCCTTAACTCGGCGGTCTGATGAAGCTTTTTAAATTCTACTCAAACTGTTCTGAAGCGGTTGGTTCTGGTTGCCCCCCCCAGGCTACGTGTTCTGCATGCTTCACCGTCTCCCCGAGCAGCACGACTGCCTGTTCGACCACCTGGGCCGCGGCCGCGAGGAGGCCGTCCTCAAGATGGTGAAGCTGGACCGCAAGGTGGGCCGCTCGTGCCAACGCATCGGGGAGGAGTGCTCCTGATCGGCCGTCCCGCCGGAGACCAGGCGCTTGTGGAGGGGGAGGGGCCTCAGGGAGGAAGAGGAGGAGCAAGCTCGTAATGTCCCACATCTGATCTGAGCCTGTTGGCGTCCGGTTTGAGAGAGGGTGCCCGGCGGGGGGGGGGGGTGGGGCATGTTTCAGTATTGCATGTACACACACACACACACACACAGAGGCTT